TCACCGGATCTCATTACAGATGGTTGTGAGCCACCGTGTGGCTGCCGGGAATTGAACTCAGGACCTCTGAAGAGCAGTCAGTGCTCTTAACCTCTGAGCCATCTCTCCAGCCCTTTCTTTTCCAGCCTTACGTTTCATCTCAGCCAAAAGGCCAAGAAGCAATCTTTTTTTTTTTTTAACCCTTCATTCAGGGACAGAGGTCTCAATGGCTGGCCGGGCTAGCCTTGAATTCGCCTCGTAGCTCAGGGTTGACCTTGACCTTTTGATCTTCCGGCCTCAGTCCCCAAGTCACCAGGCTGTCGGGCCTGTACCGGCCACTCAAGCTTCTTTACCAGGCCTTTGTCAATCTCCTGACTAGTTACTAATCTCCATTGTAATTCCCTGAGTGTCATGATTACCGGCATCTCTGATGGAGGCGGCGGTGAGGGAGCCAGCTAGGAGGCTCACTTGGTGAAGGTACTTTCTGCTAAGTCTATCTGAGTTCCAGCCCCAAGACTCACATGGCCGAAAGGAAAAAACGTTCAAGGTCAACCTGGGTCACCTGGTTAGTTTCGGGCCAACCTGGGCATCATGTGACCCTGTTTCAGGAACACAAACAAGCGTTCCCTGGAAGCAAGTTGCTGGACACCGCCAGAGTTTCTGAGTCAGCGGGTCTGAGCACTGGGACAAACTTTGCATGCCTGATAAGACTCCCAGATGCTGCTAGTCTCAGCATCACATTTGAGAAAACCCTCTTAGGAGAGTCTCTGTTAGAGAAGACCACACGCATGCTTTCTGAGTACCTTACTTTCTTCTGAGCTGCAATAATTTTTAACTATATTATGTCTATATTGAAATATCTTTATTCTTTTGATTTTTTAAAAAACATTCTTTTTTTTTAGATTCAATACGTAGTGTTCTACCTGTATATATCCCTGCAGGCCACAAGAGGGCGCCAGATCTTATTACATATGACTATGAGCCACCAAGTGGTTGCTGGGACTTGAACTCAGGAAGAGCAGTCAGTGCTCTTAACCTCCAAGCCATCTCTCCAGCCCTGAAATGTCTTTATTAAACCTCAACTCTGGCAAGGTGGCGGTGCACATCTTTAATCCCAGCATTTAGGAGGTAGAGGTAGGAGGATCTCTGAGTTCAAGGCCAGCCTGGTCTACAGAGCGAGTTCTAGGATAGCTGGGGCTACACAGAGAAACCCTGTCTCAAACACCCTCCCCCCCCAAAAAAAAAACAAACCCATAAAACAACATCAACAAGAAACCACCTTAGAGAGGGCCGGGGAGAATGGGAATGTATGCGGGTGGCCAGTGCAATGGTGCTGTTAGCCAGTGGAGAAAGAGGCGCTGGGCTGCAGGTCTGTGTGAACCTTGTACCCAGCTTTTAGGCATCTCTCCAAGCAGGAGGCGGAGGCTGAAACCTTACTCATCTATTTGCTGTGTCCTTACGCCCTGGCCCAGGCTCCGGAGGACCGTGTCTGTTCACGTCAACCTGTTTCTGCTGATGTGAACGGAGACACCGTACTTGCAACCGGAACTCGGATGGCACTCCAGGAGAAACTCAACCGTGTATACTGGAGAGGTTTCAAGCAGAACCGGGTAAGACCCTTTCCACGTCCAAAGGCGCCCTCTCAGACGTGGACAAGCAAAATGGTGTATATTCGTACGATGGAACCTAACTGAGTCCTGTTCTTTGTAGTGCTGGGGTTGGCTTCAGAGACTTAGGCATGTTAAGCTTTCTGATACTAAGCCGTGTTACCCGGACTTTGTTGTGTTTTAATTGGGTGGCTGGAGATGCGGTTTAGCAGTAATGAGTGCTTGCTGCTCTCTTTGTTTGGTTTTTGTTTTGTTTTTTTCAAGACAGGGTTTCTGAGAGAGAAAGAGAGAGAGAGAGAGAGAGAGAGAGAGAGAGAGTGTGTGTGTGTGTGTGTGTGTGTGTGGCTTTGGAGCCTGTCTGTCTTGGAACTTTGTAGAATAGGCTGCCCTTGAACTCAGAGAGATCTGCCAGCCTCTCTGCCTCCTGAATGCTGGGATTAAGGGTGTTAGCCACTACCGCCTGGCTGTAAAATTAATTTTAAACAAATTTTTATAACATATAAATATATTATATATATTGTGTGTGTGTGTGTGTGCATGTGCCTGTAGGTCAGAGGACAACTTATGTGGGTCAGTTCTTTTCTTCTACCATGTTCCAGAATCAAAGACCGTCATACTTGGCAGCAAGTGCCTTTCCGAGCTGAGCCATCGCACCGTTTTTTGAGACAGTGTCTCCTCCTCCTCTTCCTCCTCCTCTTCTTCTTCTTCAAGACAGGGTTTCTCTGTAGCTTCGGAGGCTGTCCTGTAATGCCCTCTGTAGACCAGGCTGGCCTTGAACTTACTACCCAGTGTTGGGATTAAAGACGAGCACCCCCACCACCACCCAGCCAGACACAGTGACTCACGTAGCCCAAGCTGGCCTCAAACCCACTGCACAGACAAGGAGGAAATCTTGACCTCCTGATCGTCTGTATCCCTCTCTCAGGTGCTGCTGAGATTACAACTTTCAGTTTTACAAAGGAAGGAAATTGGGTCATTGAGACGGCTCAGTGAATAAGGGTGCCTGCAGTCAGAGCCCGGTGCCCTGATTTTGATCCAGTCTCCACTTGGTGGAAAGAGAACCGATTCCTGAAATGAAAGTCGTCCTCTTCATACAGACTGTGACACTCAAGCACCACCCCCTACACACACACACACACACACACACACACACACACACACACACACACTCTCTCTCTCTCTCTCTCTCTCTCTCTCTGTGTGTGTGTGTCTCTCTCTCTCTAAATCACAATAAATGTAGTTTAAAAAAAACAATATAAATAAACATGAAAATAAATAAAGCCAGGCATGATAGTACACACACACACACACACACACACACACACACACTCCAGCATTCTAGAAGAGGAGGCAGGAGGATATTCCTTGGCTACATAAAGTGTTTGAGACTAACCTGGGCTACAAGAGACAGTCTCAAAAGGGTTTAAGAGAGAGGCAGGAGGGGCTGGGGCGATGGCTCGGAGGTTAAGAGCACTGACTGCTCTTCCAGAGGTCCTGAGTTCAAGTCCCAGCAACCACATGGTGGCTCACAACCATCTGTAATGAGATCTGATGCCCTCTTCTGGTGTGTAGGCATACATGCAGACAGAACACTGTATATGTAATAAAAATAAGTAAATAAACTAAAAAAAAAAAAAGAGAGAGGCAGGATCTCTGTGAGTTCGAGGCCATCCTGGTCTACTGAGCGAGTTCCAGGACAGCCTCCAAAGCTACAGAGAAACGCTGTCTCAACATCCACCCCCCCAAAAAAAGTGTATATGGAATGAATCCAACTGGAGTGTGACATTCCGCATACAGGAAAGGAATGTGACATCACAGGTTCTAGAAATAGAAAAGCAGCTCGCGTGGCTGGCACACTCAGCAAGATGAGGGACTCAGAGGGGACAGCAGTGGGCCAGGCTCAGGTTCAACGCGGCCACCCTCTAAACTAGCTAGCAGACAGCTGTAGCAACTAGGAGAACGGTCTTGTCCACCTGCGCATTTGGTAAGGACAATAGCCAGCTTCTGCTTCGTGCATGCTTGCCCTTGTCGGGCGCGGCCGCCTTTTACAAAGTCCAGTGAGGAGGGGAGAGAGAGCCTCGGATCTGTCTGCTCCCCTTGCTTGGAAGAGGCACCCATCACCGGCTGGAGAGGGACGGCTCAGTTCTTCCCGAGTTCAGTTCCCCGCAAGCCCACCGTAGCTCTCGACCGTTTATAATGGGATCTGACGCCCTCCTCTGGCCTGCAGGCATTATGTGCAGACAAAACGCGTAAAATAATAGATAAAATACACAGGAAAAAACCCACACATAAATAAAATTTTAGAAAAGAACCATCCATCATTCGAAATACAACCTCTCATTACCTTCCTTCCCTCCACCTCGAGGGAGGTAGGGGGAGATGAGAAGGAGCCGGGAAGTGGGGGGGGGGGGGGGCGGGGGCGGGGCTGCAGAGATGGCAAAGAGGTTAAGAGCACAGACTACTCCTTCTGGAGGACCCGGATCCAATTCCCGGCACCCACACGGTCGCAACGGTGTGTAACTACAGTTCTGAGGTGTCCCACGCCATCATCTTCTGACCTCCGCCTCCGCGAGCACCGCTTGCACGCGGCGCGCGGATTCCCCAGCAGGCAAATCGCCCGTACACATTACAAAAAACAAAACAAAAAACCCCAAAACCTTCTTCCCATTTCTGAGGTAGGTAAATGGAGGCTGCAGTCTGTCCGATGAGGTACCAGTCACGCCGCTTGACAGGTGGATAGTCGTCTCCCCCCCCCCACACACCCCCATTCACAAGAGGGGAAACTGAGGCCAGAAAGCGGGCCAGCCTCAGCCTTCCTTTAACCTATTACTGAAGAAGGGCGAAACTGCAACCGTTGTCAAGGAGACGGATCTCCCAGCGATGACTCCGGGAGAGCTGAGGCCGGGCAAACTCCAAAGGGTGCGTCCTCCACCGGTTTCCACGACAACGCCCCCCCCTCCTGGTCCCTCCCCGGCCCAACTGCGCATGCCTACGGTCCGCCTGCGGGGCGTCTGGGTGCAACCTGGGAAATGCAGTCCGAAATCGGAGGCGCTCCGTTCGCGGCGGCGTGCCCAATAGGGAGCGGGTCTGCTTCTGGCACATCTTGAGAAGCGCCGCGTTCCGTGCAGGCGCGGAGGGCCGGCTCCCGGGACGCACGGGCGCGCGCGAGTCGACCAATGGGAAGCCGCTTCTGTCGCGCTGCTTCTCGGGAGTTGTAGTTCCAAGCTGGAGGAGGAGGAGGAGGAGGCGAAGGAGGAGGAGGAGGAGGAGAAGGCGGCGGCGGAGGAGGAGGAGGAGGAGGAGGCGAAGGAGGAGGAGAAGGGGAGTGGTTGGGTAGAACCGGCGATTCCCAGTGTTGGGGTGAGGTGGGGGGGGACGTGTGTGGGGGAGGGTGAGTTTGGCGCAAAGCCTGCTGGGGCATGGAGTCCTGGCGGGCTGTGTGCGCATGTGCGGGAAGGTGAGGGTGCTTGGGGGGCCTCGCCCTGGAGAGTGAGGTGAGCTAGGTGGGGGGGGACCCGGGGGTCGGGTGTACGGGGGCGGCGGTGGGGTTGGGGGCGCGGGCAGGCGGGTCCCGGGGAGGGGGACTCGGGTCTGCAGGGAGGGAGAGAGGACAGGAAGGGTGGGCGGTTTTGGGGGGACGGCGATGATCAAGAGGCTGGGGCCGGCGGGGGTGCTGGGGGCGGGCCGGGGAGCGGGAGGGACGGACGGGACGCACGCGAGGTGCAGGCGCCGGCGAGCTGGAGGCCTGGGGGTGGCCGGGGTGCTCGAGGGGGAGCCCTGGGCATGGCGGGGCGCTGGGTGGGAGTGCGACCCCGCCGAGGATGGATGCCTGCGTCTCCGGGACCCCTTGGAGAAGGACGCAGGGGCAAGGGGTTCATTCCGGGGCGTAGCAGCGTAGACGGCTTGCAGGCGGCTCGCCCCGTGCCCTGCGCGCTGCTCGCGTAGGTTCACGCGCACCCCTGTCGTCGAGCGAGCGGAGGAGATTCCGGAGCCCGAGACCCTGCACCGTGCACGGCCTCGTTAGCTCGTCGCCAGAGGCGAAGTTCGTTAATGCGCCCCAGGGGCTTGGAGAGACCGACTTGAGCAGGGTTGAGATGGACTTTTTAACTCTTCTTTTGGTTCTGATCCTCTCCCGGCTCAGCCTCCCCAGTGCTGGGATTACAAGCATTGGGCCGGCTGTTCTGTTTAGTTTTTTGTTTTAGGTAGGGTCCCGTGTGGCCAGGCCTTGAACTCCTCCTCCTGCTCTTCCTGTCTTCGCCCCAGAAACTGCTGGAAATGCACCACAACATGTCTTCTTCACCCCCTTTATAGCCCATTTTAACACCTGTCCCTCTGTTTCACATCGGCTTTGCGTAACTTCTCACAAGGAGCTTGAGGGTAAACTGGTGTTTATAATAGTAAATGCAAATTTGAGCACTCAGGTGGAGTTTTATTGCCAGATGCTGTTCTGGGTACTTGTTGTTTTTTGTTTTGTTTTTTCCTTCTTGGTTTTTCCAGACAGGGTTTCTCTGTGCAACAGCTAGCTCTGTAGACCAGCCTGTGTTTTGTTTTGTTTTTAATGATTTTTTTTAATTACGATTTTACAGTTCTAAAATTTTTATTGCTGACTTTTTAAAAAAGATTTACATTTTTTTTATGTGCACGGTGTTCGGTGTTCTGCCTGTATGAATGCCTGCAATGCATCCCAGAAGAGGGCGCCAGATCTCATTACGGATGGCTGTGAGCCACCATGTGGTTGCTGGGAATTGAACTCGTGACCTCTGGAAGAGCAGTCAGCGCTCGTAACCTCCGAGCCATCTCTCCAGCCCCCTTTTTAGTCATTTGTATTTTATGTGCATTCGTGTTTTGCCTGCCGTGTGTGTCTGTTGAATCCCCTAGAACTGGAGTTTACAGTTGTGAGCTGCCGTGCTGATGCCGGGAATCGAACCCGGGTCCTCTAGAAGAGCAGCCGCCAGTGCTGTTAAACACTGAGCCATCTCTCCAGCCCTGCTCTGGGTATGTTTGTGCTCTTTTAGTTGCCCCCACTTTACAGCCAAGGGAATGGAGATAGTGTATGAAGGGGGCAGTTGTCCATTGCCCAAGGACACATTGCTGGTAGCGGGCTGGAATTCACTCCAGTTCTGCAGCTCTTGTCCCCCCGAGTAAATATTTGGCGTGTTGTGTAGCTGAGAGCACCGAGTCCCCAGTGCAGATCCCTGGTCCTTTGAACGTGGGGCCGCGAGGTGGAAGTAGGGGACCCTGGAAGTTATACACTTCGGAGGATCAAATAAAAAGCAAAACAAACTCAGATGGCTCGATGGTAAAACTGCAACTGTAGCCGGGCGTTGGTGACGCACGCCTTTAATCCCAGCACTCGGGAGGCAGAGGCAGGCGGATCTCTGTGAGTTCGAGACCAGCCTGGTCTACAAAGCGAGTTCCAGGACAGCTTCCAAAACAATACAGAGAAACCCTGTCTCGGAAAAAAAAAAAAAAAAAAAAACCAACAACTACAAAAAATAACTGCAAGCCAAGGACCTGAGTTTGGATCAGTGCTCAGGTAAGGGGGGTTGAGCACAGGGACACCTCAGTGTGTGCACCCTAACTTGTCATCCCAGCCGAAGCAGCAAGCCTTAGTTCCAGTGAGTGACTTTTAAAGATAAGGTAAAGACATCTAACCCCAACCTTAGGCCTCCACAGGCAATTTGCACACACATACCAAAAAAAAAAAAAAAAAACAGCAAATCAACAGCTTGGAGACATCAAAAAGCAGCAGCAAAAAAAAAAAAGGTCAGAGATTGCTGAAGGGGGACACAAAACACCTCTCCTATGGTGGCTTGGTCCTTGGGCAAGACATCAGCCGCCCATCCTTTGGGGTCAACCGAGGAGGAAATATTTACCCAATTTGTTGGCTAAGAGTTGCTCTCTGTGGCCTGGAGCTCAGAAAGGCTAGTAACTAGCTGGTGTCACTAATTGACTTTTTAGTTTTCTAAGCTCTGTGTGGGGAAGGAATAGCTAACTTTATCTCACCCGTCCTGTTTCGTCCTGTTTTTCCTGTGGGGCGGGTTTCAAGCGTGTGGGGGGGGGGGCGTGGCTTGAGCTTTCCCCGAAATCAGTAACAAGCTAGTCTGCAATCTTTATTACCCACTTGAGTTTATTTTTGATCTGGCCCCTGAAGGCCAGCGCCTGAACGTGAGCCCCAACCAGCTTGGAGGTTTTCCATCCCAGCCTTTGACGGAGGCCTCCTTTTGAATGTTCTGCACCCCCCACCCCCCACAAGGCCCAACTGTTAAGGTGTGCAGGCTACTGTCTAAGGTACAGCTTCTGGGGGATATGAAGTACATATCTCACTTAAGTGGGCTGTTGTATTTTCTCACCTCATCCATACAGGTATGTTGTCTTTCTCCATCTGGCTTTTGGCTAGCCACTTCAGGTCATAAAAGTGGATTTTCCCTTTATTGTAGGAGTTGGGTCTCAGCTCAAGGAAGTCCCCTTTCACTTGATCCAGATGTGACAGACATCTGCAGTGGGCTTTTTTTGCTTGTTTTGGTGTCTCTGCACAACAGCCCTGGCTGTCCGGGAACTCGCTCTGTAGACCAGGCGGGCCTCCTGCTCACAGAGATCCATCCTCCTGCCTCTGCTTCAGGAGTGCTAGGATTAAAGGCGTGCACCCCCACTGCCCAGCCTACAGTGGGCTTTTATAAGGGGGTTCCTGACTGCTCACACTATTTGTCAGTGGAAGCTCATGTGTTGATAGGTGTGTCTTCCAGGCTTCCGAGGAGGGAGGGGGCTGCACAGGGCTCCCTTTCCATTCTTCCTGCCTAACACCCCTACCACAGGGGGCTCCACCAGGGCTAGCTGCTTGTCTTTCCCTTTCCATCGTATAAGCGAGGACTTGATTTAGGGAAATTGATAGTTTATGGCAAGTTTTACTCTCGAGATAGTAAAGCCACAGAACACTGCGGTCTAATTGAACCTTAAAGATAAACAGGCTGAGGGGCTGGCGACGTGGTTCAGTGGTGAAGAGCACTTGTTTGTAGATGGCTAGGGTTCTTTTACACACACACATACACACACACACACACTCTCTCTCACACACACACATCAGGGTTCTTTTACACACACACACACACAAATACAAATTTATTTTTATGTGCATCGTTGTCTATATGAGGGTATGAGAAACCCTGGAACTGGAGTTACAGACCCTTGTGAGCTGCCATGTGGGTGCTGGGAATTGAATCTGGATCCTTTGGAAGAACAGCCAGTATTCTTAACTGAGCTCTCTCTCCAGCCCTGATGACCCTGGTTGAAATCCCACCACCCATAAAACAGTCTGTAACTACAGGTTTTGTTGTTGTTTGCCTGTTTGTTTTTAAGCATGCTGAAAAAGGCAGGCTTGGTCTCCCCCCACCCCCAGCCCCTACCTTCTTAATTTCTTTTCTTTTTTTCTTTTTGGTTTTTCAAGACAGGGTTTCTCCGTATTGTTTTGGAGGCTGTCCTGGAACTCGCTCTGTAGTCCAGGCTGGCCTCGAACTCACAGAGATCCACCTGCCTCTGCCTCCCAAGTACTGGGACTAGAGGCGTACGCCACCAACGCCTGGCTTAGTTTCATGTGTTTTGTATGTTTCTGGGGGGTGAGGGGAGCGGCCCTGGACATACCATGGCATACATGTAGGTTGTCAGAGGGCAATTGAAGGAGTCAGTTCTTCCCTGTGTCCTCGGGGTCCTTAGGCGTGGAGGTAAGCACCTTTGCCCACTGAGCCATCCCGCTGGGCCCTGGCACGTTCTCATTCCTTACAGGAGACCCTTTACAATGTTGGGGGTTGGGTCTCTGCCTTTTGCAGTATTTCAGCAGTAATGTGGAGCAGTGTTGAGTAGTTGATTAGTAGCGTACCATTAGGTGATCCTCTCAGCTGTATTCAATTAATCCAGCTCTCAGTAGCTCTTTATTAAAAATAAAATGTAGTTACGTCATTTCCCCCAACACCTTGCATACTCCCCATACTCCAAATTGATGGGTTCTTTTCCTTTGACTATGTGTGTGTATACATACTGTACACACACACACTATATATATATATACATATATATGTATATATGTACATATGTGTATACACACACACTATGTATATGCACACACTATATATACACATACACTATATACACATATATGCACACACTATATATACACATACACTATATACACACACAATATATATACACGTACAATATATATGCACACGCTATACATACATTATATATACACATACACTATATACACACACTATATATACACATACAATATATATACACACAATATATATATACACAATATATATATACATACAATATATATGCACACGTTATACACATACTATATATACACATACAATATATATACACACACATATATATATACACACACTATACATGTACCCACACACTGTATACACACACATTTATATATATATTTAGTGCATGGCTATATAAACATAACCTACTCAGTTCAATTCATTTAATATCACGTGTGCATGTATGAATGAATTCAGGGCTAACCATTTGGTATAGTTAAACCAGTTAGGAGACCCATCACTGAGAGAGGCTAATTCTTCCTCTCTCAATCGTCATTAGTTGCCCGTAGTTCTCTGTCTAGGGGAGGGATTCCATGGGGTTTCCACCTTCTGAGCTAGCACGTGGATTGATTTTTGTCACCCTTCCAGTCAGTGACAGCTGTATCGTTGAGGTATCAAAGTTCTCTGTCACAGCAGGCTTCGTTGTGGTTCTCTGGCTCTCAAAAAGTCTTTCCACCCCTTCTTCTGGAGTGTCCCCTGGGCCTTGGGGACAAGAGTTGTGTGTAGATGTATCCTTTGGGACAGCCCTTACAGTCCGTTGATCTCTTTATAGTGATAGTTGTGGTTTTCTGTATTGGTCTCCGTTTGCTGTAAATCGAAGTTTCTTTGATAAGAGGTGACAGCTACACTTGTCCCTGTAGATATTAGAGTAAGCTTTAGAATGCAGTTAGGAATTACGCTGGTCTAGTAAAGTTCTGCTCTAAGATCCATGGCCTCACCAGCCCCTGGCAGTTCACTAGGTTTCCCGTCCTGGAGGTAGGTTGTAGCCTTCTGATGGACAGGAGTCCTGTGTAGCAGCCGTGTGAAGAACCAGGGAGAGATCGGAAGGCGTAGAAGGTGAGCCAGCGGCAGACTGTTGGGGAATTGTGCCTAGCACGGGGTAGGCTGAGAGTAGACTAACTCCCAGCATCCTGATGACAAGTTATGGTGAAGATGAAAGTGGGGTTTGTGTGGTGTCTTCCTGTGTGTGAGAGCTGGCAAGCTCTCAGTGCCAGTTACCGAGCGCTAAGTCTGTAGGAGGCTCTTTGACTCAGCAAGAAGCCGAGGGCTCCTAACCTTAGACTTAGTGTCGCCGTGGAAACGGCGCTCCTGTCTCAGTGCCCTTGACAGGACCTCAGGAGTCGCAGGCCCGTGTTTCTTCTCGTCCTTGGCGCAGTTGGTGCGCGGTGCCGGTGGCTACGTTTGGAGAATGCTCCTGTGTGTCCCAGGGTACTCGGTTGTCTGCCCTGCAGCCACCAACGGCGCTGCCCACTCCGCATTCTGTCTGACAATCAGACAGGCCCTTCCGGATGCCACCTGGGAGCCACACCCCCTTACCCCCTCAGGTTTGGAGCCGCGACCTCGTCCAGGAACTGGGAGAGAGGCAGGGAGGGCAGCTGGCTCCCTCCGGGCTGGGGGTATTCCAAGGAAAGCGCCTGCAGATGGGCACATTTGCCAGCCCTCAAACGTAGTTTGTGACCAACTGCTGCAGTGCATTTGTCCCCACAGTGTCCCCTGACCATAATCCTAGCCCCCTACGTGGCCGTAGGAGGAAGGGACAGCCAGGGCTACACAGAGAAACTCTGTTTTCAAAATCATCCCCCCCCAAAAAAAACCCGCTTATTCTTTTTTTTTTTTTTTTTTTTTTTTTGGTTTTACGAGACAGGGTTTCTCTGTAGCTTTGGAGGCTGTCCTGGAACTCACTCTGTAGACCAGGCTGGCCTCGAACTCACAGAGATCCGCCTGCCTCTGCCTCCCGAGTGCTGGGATTAAAGGCGTGCGCCACCAACGCCCAGCAAAACCGCTTATTCTTAACGTTCTGGCCAGCTATCAGACTCTACAGTCATGGCTTGCCGCAGTAAGAAGCTTCTCTGGTCAGCGCTGACAGCAGCAGCTCGAGGTGTGCATACGAGCATATATATTCAGAAGACAGTTGGACGTGCACACCATGCCTGTGTAGCAGAGCAACAGCAGTCACTTCCTCACTGGGGCCTGTGACGTTTCCAGACGTGGGCTTTTGACTGGGTTTGTGGTGACAGGCATGAATTCCCTCCTGTGGGGTGGGCCCCAAATCCAGTCAGAAACGGAGGGTTCCCCTGTCACTGACATGCCACTTTTGCACCAGCGGGCGCACTTAATGACTCGTCGGTGACATGGCACCTTCTTGTGTTTTAGTTACATAGCCACCAGGAAACTGGGAAGAGGGAGGTTCTGCCTGGCCAAGGTTGCCCTTCTTATAAGCATTGCAGCTCTGAGGGGAAAGGCTTTCCCAACAGAAGCTTGCAGCCCTGAAGGTAACGGTGTGCTGGCAGTTGGGAGCCAAGGAATACCACAAAGTCACAGTGCACAGCGCACCTCACACAAGAGGGTTATTGGGGAGACACGAGAGGGTAACTACCTCTGCTCAGGGGAGAAGTGGCAAATGGCTTTATATAGGGTGACTTGGGGGGTCAGAGCTTTCCAGGGTGGGGATTAGTGAGATTTCAAGTCCTGAGTTTGGGCGGGCTCCGGGACCGGTGGGTTTTCAGAACACCCAGACATTTAACTCTACACTTCCCCAACTCCCCTCCCAGCCCAGCCCATACCCTTTCTGCCTCTTGTTAGAAAAACACGGGCGCAGGGCAGTGGTGGCGCACGCCTTTAATCCCAGCACTCAGGAGGCAGCGGCAGGCAGATCTCTGTGAGTTCCAGGCCAGCCTGGTCTACAGAGTGAGTTCCAGGACTACACAGAGGGACCCTATCTCAAAAAGCAAACAAACAAAAGCGTGGTTTGTACGAAAACTAATTTTTAACTTGCAAGTGGTTATCAATTGAAGGCTCAGGGTTGGGAACGAAGGCATGTGTCCCCTTCCTTCAGCGCTGGGACCCCATTTGGCACTGAGCCGTGCCGTCCCAGTGCGCCCTGCCACGGTCTCTGGAGTTGAGAAGTGTGTCGGCTCTGTCGCATCTGGAAGGCATTGGTTCTTTGCTGGCCTCCATCCCCTCTTCTGCAGTCTTGATGGAGACATCCCACTTGGAACGGAACATCCCAAGCGCTCTCGCTCTGTCCAGTGGTGGGGCTCTGTGTCTGTTCCCATCTGCTGCAGGAGGAAGCGTCTCTGATGATGGCCGAGCAAGGCATTGACCTATGAGTGTAGCCGAATGTCATTAGGAGTTATCTTACTTACTGCTGTCTTCCTTTTACACAAGAGTGGTTTTGCCCCCAGGTCCCTGACCTATCTAGTCTCTGGTTCTTGGCCGCCTGAGCAGTGTCAGGGACAGGTGCCATCTCACGAAATAGGCCCTAGATCCCAGCGGACAGTGATTGGTTACCCCCATAGATCCAAGAGGACAGTGATTGGTTACCCCCATAGATCCAAGAGGACAGTGATTGGTTACCCCCATAGATCCAAGCATGTTAAGAGAAGCTTTCCTTGAGAGAAGCCTTCCTGCCAGCCTGGTTCCAGAGCCGCTTTCCCGCCAGCCTGGTTCTAGAGCCACATCAGTCCCAAATAAACACACAGGAGGCTATATTAATTATGAAGCTGTTGGCCTTGCTTGTTTCTTACTGGCTAGCTCTGACTTAAGTAATTACCCCATAATTGTTAATCTAAGTATTTCTCTTACCGGAGAATAGTTCCGGGCTTCCTACCCCATGGCGGTTACATCTCGAACTCCTGTGTTTCTCCTTCCCAGAGTTCTCCTGGACTCCTAGTCCCTCCTATCTTGGTTCCCTATAGGCTCAACAGTACTTTATTGACAAATGCACAGGACTTCCCCCAACACAAGCAGACAGTGATTGATTGATTGCTCCCATAGATCCAAGCAGACAGTGATTGATTGATTGTTCCCATAGATCCAAGCGGACGGTGATTGATTGATTACCCCCATAGATCCAAGCAGACGGTGATTGATTGGTTACCCCCATAGATCCAAGCGGACGGTGATTGATTGGTTACCCCCATAGATCCAAGCAGACGGTGATTCATTGGTACCCCCACAGCTTCTGTGTGTCTCCCAGGCAGACCGTCATTGTCGATTGAAGGCTTTGTAGCTGGGTTGGCGTCTGCCTTTGTGTTTTGGCACTGAGCAGAGTATCTCCCAGTAGGATGAACACTAGTACTAGCGCTAGGGGTGAGGGCGGCAGGCAGGCACCAGCTCACCTTACCTGTCGGTGTTCAGTGAGTCACGGAGGTGTCATAAGCAATAGGGCCTCGCCGTCAGTTTGTGGAGAGCAGCCGGTAGCCTTGACGGTAGCCTGGATTGTTCGGGGGCTCCCCATGGGGCCCCTTTAGTCAACAACTTGATTAGAGGTACCCCACTCCTGGTACCGGAAGCGTCGTCTGATGACGAGAGATGTCGGGTTGGCCGGTCTTCTCCCTGGTCACAGGCAAGCAGGCTTTCGTTTTACAGAATAGGCAGCGCACAAGCGGGTCGTGGCTTCAGGCTGGTTCTCTCGCCCACATAAGATGAGCCGTGCCCTGCCGCCACTGACTGTCCCTTCCTACAGATAGCTGGTGACTCGAACCCGGGCCGCCCCATGGAGGCCGCAGCGTCCCAGCCGGTGAAGCAGGAGAGCCCGTCCGTGGAGGCGCTGACCCTCGACTCCCCGTGGCACCGCTTCCGCCACTTCCACCTGGGTGACGCCGCCGGGCCCCGGGAGGCCCTGGGGCTGCTGCGCGCCCTGTGCCGGGACTGGCTCCAGCCGGAAGTGCACACGAAGGAGCAGATGCTGGAGCTGCTGGTGCTGGAGCAGTTCCTGAGTGCCCTCCCCGCCGACACCCAGGCCTGGGTGTGCAGCCGCCAGCCCCAGAGCGGAGAGGAGGCCGTGGCACTGCTGGAGGAGCTCTGGGTGAGCAGGAGGCGGCGGTGGCCGAGGGGGGGGCTCGCATGCCACACACTCAGAAAGGAAGGTGTGGTCTGCCGCTGGGGTGCTTCTCCAGTGTCATCTGTGTATGGGGGGGCCTGTGCCTCCCTCAAAAGAGGGAGGGCCGCCTTGCCCGGAAAAAGGACACCAGCTAAAGGAAGCCTCAGGAGCCAGCACAGGTGGTGAGGTATGGGTGTCTCTAGAAGGTTCCAAGCCATCCAACAGGAGGCGGACAGGGCCAACTAGTCTTAGCTACCGGGTGGGGAGCTATGAGCCCGGAGCCCTCAGCCTGGTGTGGCAGTTCATACGTGTAAAAGGGGGCTCTGAGGCAGGAAGGTCATGGAGGGCCGTCTGTAGCCAGACCCTCTCTTTAGAAAGAAACAAACCCCAAAGCAGAACAAAAAGTAGGGAGTGCCGTCGGTTAGGTTGACTCACCCTGCTGTCCAGGGTTTTTTACTAGGCCTCAAGCTTGGCGACGTGGTGGCTTGCCACGGGACTGATCTGTCACTAGCCCCTCCGGAGCTTGGCTAATCTTGCACGGTCCAAACCCCCATCTCAGGCCGCTTATTCTTTTTTAAAAATTGATTAGTTTTGTCTGCTCTGGGGCCTAGGCAGAAATCCTTTTCCTAGCTGTGACATTTAAAGGTTACATAAGACTTCCCAGGAGCCAGGACAACAGCCAGCCTTCCCTGGGGCCATTAAATGACAAATGCATGTATTTGGGTGGTGCTGGGGTGGGGGTAGGGGTAGGTGGGGGTCAAGCACACACCACCCTGCATGCGTAGAGGTCAGAGGGCAACTGCAGAGTGGGTTCTCTCCTACCATGTGGGACTGGGCCGGCAGGGCTGTCAACAAAAGCCTGTCCCTACGGAGCCATCTCAGTGGTGCACCCTCTGCGCTGCTTTTAGCTGAAGACAGCAAGGTAGTTGCTTTTAATGTATATATCTAGCAGAATTTCTAAAAATCCTTCAAAGGCATGTCTGGTGATACGTATCGGGGGTTAAGTGAGGAGGATTGTGAATTTGAGGCCAGCCTGGGCTACAGAGGAAGACCGTGTCTGCAAATGAACAAAAAATCTCTTTTAGTGGTTGGGTGGGAGGGTCCTCATTATCTGGGCAATCTACAGTGGGGAAGTCATTGTTCTAATGGCTCTGCTCAGCTCCTTGGGCTCAGTGGCATAGGGAAATCCCTTCTCAGGATGGCTTTGATGCTTACACGACCTGTCTCATTGGCGTGATAAGTGTCAACATAACTTAAGGGAGAAAGGGTTTTTTTGGGGGGGCTCACAGTTCAGGGGTACAGTCTGTCACTGAGGAGAAGCCGCGGCATTCGGAGCTAGAGGCAGCTGGCTCATCAGTGACCTGAGAGCAACGGACACTGTTGCTCAGCTCTTTGGTAACAGCCCTGGCTGTCCTGGAACTCCGCTGTAGACCAGGCTGACCTTGAACTCAGAGATCACCTGCCTCTGCCTCTCCAGTGCTGGGACCAAGGGCGTGTGCCACCCCACCCGGCTCCAAGCTCTCTCCTAGATTCAGTCAGCCACAGTTAGGGTGAGTCTTAGAGCCCCAGAGGTAGCTGGGAGCATGGAAAATTAGCACAAAATAGTGTGTGTGTGTGTGTGTGTGTGTGTGTGTAAAAACCTAGAGAGAATCATCCAAGGCATATTGATTGATAGAGCTCCAGACTCGACCTTTGTACAGCATCAGAGCAGGGCGGTGGTGGCGCACACCATTCATCCCAGCACTCGGGAGGCAGAGGCAGGCGGATCTCTGTGAGTTTGAGGCCAGCCTGGTCTGCAGAGAGAGTTGCAGGACATTCAGGGCTACACAGAGAAAAAAAACAAAGTTGTTCTCTGACCCCCATATGTAGACACACACACACACACACTACACGGTGGAAAGTTTGGTTTCCAATATCCATGTCTGGCGGCTCACAACTTCTTGTCACTTCAGAGGATCGCATACTGTCTTCTGGCCTCTGCATGCATGTGTGCCTATGCAAACTCCTCCCTCCCCCCCCCCGCAACAAACTAGAAGTAAATCTAAAAAACAGACAAGAAGCAGGCAGTAGGATTTGAGAACTGCGTAAGGTGTGGAGAGGGAGGTAAATACGGGCCTTTGTAATCTCTCAATTTGCAGATGCTCTCTCGTTTCAGGGCCCAGCAACCTCCCCAGATCGGTCCTCAGCAATGAGGGCACCCCGGGATATGACGGAAGGCTCGGGGGTCAGTGTTGGAAAGGAAGAAAGTGGGGCGACTCCTGTAGGTGAGCAGCTGGCCCCTTTTCCCACCTCTTTTTTGATAACCCCCAACATCGAGGGTCCTTGTCTCCCAGGCTAAGGCAGGGACCGTCTTGTTCAGTGAATGCTCCCGGGACAGCTCAGCACGTGGTTGGGGAGCCCAGGGAAGGTGGGGGTCAGGCTCTTCACGGTAGGCCGGGTGCTGCTCTGCGCTTGCATGGAAAACCCGTAGCACCACTCAACAGATGTGGTCTCTAGAGTTAGCCCAGGCTGGCACAAGTCTCTTTCCTCGGCCTCCTGAGTGCTGAGATTACAGGCATGCCAGCGTGCCCGGTGAGAACTGTCCATAGTGCGTTTAGGATCCCAAAGGGACTGCCCGGGCGGATCTCTGTGAGTTCGAGGCCAGCCTGGTCTACCAAGTGAGTTCCAGGACAGCCTCCAAAGCCACAGAGAAACCCTGTCTCGAAAAACCAAAAAAAAAAAAAAACAAAAAACAAAGGGACTGCCCGAAGGGGTGGGTGCTGCTAAACCAGGATTGGGCCCGGGCAGCCTGATGCACAATCTGTGCACCCCAACCCCTTTCAGACCGGCTCCAGTGGCGTCGCCTGCGCGCCCCCTCCCAGGTGCTGTGTCGGGGTTCTGTGTCGTGTGCATGGAGTCTGTTCCATCACGTTAGGGTGGGGTGACTCTGCATCTCTAAGGCTGCTCACTCTGACTCTGTTCCTCCCCGCCCCCACCCCCCACCCCCGCAGGCACCGGGACCTCCGGGACAGAGGCGCCTACAACCGGGACCGCAGGGGCCACGCGCCCCTACAAGCAGGAGCCGGGCAGCCCCCCACCAGCCCCTCTGGTACCCGTCCTCCCGGCCTTCCTGGCGGCCCCGGGTACCGTCTCGTGCCCAGAGTGCGGCAAGTCGCCCCTGAAGCCGGCCCACCTGTTGCGCCACCGGCAGAGCCACTCGGGCGAGAAGCCTCATGCGTGCCCCGAGTGCGGCAAGGCGTTCCGGCGCAAGGAGCACCTGCGGCGCCACCGGGGCACCCACCCTGGCAGCCCGGGGCCCGCGCTGCGCCCCCCCTGCCGGCGCGCGAGAAGCCGCACGCGTGCTGTGAGTGCGGCAAGACCTTCTACTGGCGCGAGCACCTGGTGCGCCACCGCAAGACGCACTCCGGGGCCAGGCCCTTCGCCTGCTGGGAGTGTGGCAAGGGCTTCGGGCGGCGGGAGCACGTGCTCCGCCACCAGCGCATCCACGGCCGGGCGGCCGCGGCGCAGGGGACCGCGGCACCTGGTCCAGAGGGGGGCGGTGCCTTCCCGCCCTGGGCCCTGGGGTAGCCGTGCTGCCAAACACCTGCTTGCAGGGCCTCATCCCCCTCGGCACCCCCTGCCCCCCCCCCCCCGCCACCTCTCACCTCTTCCCTCCCCAGCGAGTGGCTTTCCCTTTCAGGCCCCGCGCTCACTCCTTCCTCCCTTCTGGAATTAGCCGCCTTCACCCGCCCCTACAAAGATCCTCCCTCTCTCTCTCTCCCTCATCCCATCCTCTTTTCGTGGAGGGGAGCCCTTCCCCGGGACACCCTTCAGGAGGGAAAGGGCGCTCAGGGAAGGAGCAGAGGGCCCTCCCCCCCGCCCCCAGCGTCCCGAGGAAGGCAATATTGGACCCCGGGACAGAGTCCCGGCTAAAGGCAAGAGGAGGCCATAGTTTCTGAGGAGCAGCCCCAGACCCAGGGTCTGGCTCTCTCCACAGACCCAAGGCATGAGGTGGGCAGAGGTGCCTGAGAAGCTTACCACAGATGGCAGGCAGGCCACCAGCATCAGAGAGAGTAATAAAGTGACTGACTCAGTGTGTAAGGAGTCTGGGACTCTCCTGTGTTGTGGGAGTTGAGCATCTGAGGCACAGGGGACTTGGGAGGGGAGGGTCCACCTCGCAACCCACATTGCAGAAGCAAGGACCAGACTCAAGCTCCGGTACCGGACACGCTCGCTCCAGTCTGGGTTGTCCAGGCTGTGTAATAATCAGGCAGGTGGTGCCCCCTCTGGGCAATGGTTCCAATTTCTATTTTCTTTTGTGCAGAGACAAGGTTTCTCTGTAGAACCCTGGCTGTCCTGGAACTCAGGCTGGCCTCCAACTGGCAGAGACCAACTTGCCTCTGCCTCCCGAGTGCTGGGACTACCATGCCATGAAGTTCCAAATAGTTTTGTTTTTAATTATTTATTATGTATGCAGGCCAGAAGAGGGCACCAGATCTCATTATAGATGGTTGTGAGCTACCATGTGGTTGCTGGGAATTGAACTCGGAACCTCTGAAGAGCAGTCAGCGCTCTTAACCTGTGAGCCATCGCTCCAGCCCTCAGTCATAGTGCTTTAAATATTGCCACCACCCTTGCCAAGTTGTTAAGTTAGGTGACCCCATGTCATTAGGGGACCCCTAGAAAACCAGTGCCAGCAGGTCTGGGACGGTGCATTTTGCCAAGAAGACCTCTCTGGCCTTGGGAAGGAGAAGACTGTCCCTTGAACTCAGTTCTGCACACAGACAGTCCAGCAGTCCGCACCTGGCTTTATCCAGGAAGGAAACCTGCGAGGGGAGGGCTGTGTGGCTTGGGAAGAAGACTCCAGGTAACTGCCGCACAAGGAGGGGGCGTGGCCGCACAAGGAGGGGGCGTGGCGGAAGGGTCTCAATGCTCACCCTAGTTACTGTTTTGTTTTTGGACAGGTATCCCCCATCCCAGACAGGGTTTCTCCTTGAATCCCTGGCTGTCCTGGAACTCGCTCTGTAGACCAGGCTGGCCTGGAACTCACAGAGATCTGCCTGCCTTTGCTTCCGAGTGCTAGGATTAAAGGCGTGTGCCACCACCACCCAGGCTTGAGTAGGAGGAGCATGCAGCAGTTGGGGGTGGGGTGTCATGCAGACTGGGGGGCTCATTTGCAATAACAGGGAACACAGGGTGGAAGCCCCGTGCTGGGCTGAGACAAACCAGTAGGTAAGGGCTCTGTAGAAGAATGAACACAGATCCATATCCATCACCCTGCACAAAACTCACCTCTCCAAGTGGATCAAGGACCTCCACATAAGACCAGATACCCTGATGCATGTCTTTGATCCCAGCACTCGGGAGGCAGAGGCAGGCAGATATCTGTGAGTTTGAAGCCAGCCTGCTCTATAAGAGCGAGTTCCAGGACAGCCAGGACTACAGATAGAAACCCTGTCTGTCTCGAAAAACCAAAAGAAAAATGTGTTCAGCATCCTTGTCCATCAGTGGAATGCAGATTAGAACTACTTTGAGATTATTTTAGCTCAATCATAATGACTATGATTTTAAAAGGGGGGGGGAGTTGCTGGGCACTGGTGACACACATCTTTAATCCCAGCACTCAGGAGGCAGAAACAGGCAGATCTCTGAGTTTGAAGCCAGCCTGGTCTACAGAGTGAGTTGCAGGATAGTCAGGGTTACACAGAGAAACTATCAAAAAACAAACAAACAAACAAACAAATAAATTGATGACAAATTCTGGTGTTAGTGTTGGGGGAAACGAACATGTAACTATTGTAATGATAGTATAAACGGGTGAAGCCACTATGGAGGGGGGGAGAGAGGAAAGAAAGATGAAGAGGGGAGGGAGCTGGGATTGACATGTGAAGCAAGCTTCTAACTTAAATTTAAAAAAGGCTTTAATCCCAGCACTTGGGAGACAGAGGCAGGCAGATGTCTGTGAGTTCGAGGCCAGCCTGGTCTATAAGAGAGAGTTCCAGGACAGCCTCCAAAACAATACAGAGAAACCCTGTCTCGAAACACACAGGAGAAAGAAAGCAAGCTAGTGGAAACTAGCTGTAGCTCACAATCCAGCTACACTACTGATCGTATTCCCAACAGGCTGTACTATCATACTCTCTATTCTTCAGCTGTTGGGGAAAACAAACCTGAAATTCACAGCTAAATGGATGGAGCGGAGAACAGTCATTCTGCGTGAAGTAACTAACCCGGACCCAGTTCCAGAAAGGCAAAGGTCGCACATTTTCTCTCGTTTGTGGGTGTTAGCTCTAAGTCTTCACATTCGTGTGTTTCACTGGATACGCACCGAGGTCAGAAAGTAGTAAGAGGTGGCGGCAGGGGCTTCCAAGGGAGGGGAGATAGAACGTGCTGATAGAAAAAATGTGCTGATAGAAATGTTTCTTCCAAGCGGAAGTCCCAGCTCACGCTGGCTTTGCGGTGCTGGCCCAGACATGACCTGGAGCTGCCTGAGTTTGGCTCCCCCTCCTGGTGACAAAGAGACGCAACCGCTCCCCTGCCCGGGAGAGGCAGTGAGGAGAGACAGAAGGTGGGGAGGAGTCCAGAACCCTGGGAAGAGGTGTGGAAATGAGGAGAAATGGTTCTGGGCCTAAGAGTGCCTGCTGCTTTTGCAGGGGACCCAAGTTCAGTTTCCAGAACATATCTGGTGGCTTGTGACTGCTTGTAACTCCAGCTCCTGGGGATCTGACACACTTTCCTGACTTGTTTTGTTGTTTTTGTTTTTCAAGGCAGGGTTTCTCTGTGTAACTTTGGAGGCTGTCGGTCCAGCCTGGCCTCGAACTCACAGAGATCCGACTGCATCTATCTCCCGAGTGCTGGGATTAAAGGCGTGTACCACCTACGCCTGACTTTACTTTCCTGACTTTATGGGCACCTGCATACATTTCTGTCTGTCTGTCTGTCTGTCTGTCTGTTTCTCTCCCTCCCTCCCTCCCTCCCTCCCTCCCTCCCTCTCTCTCTCTCTCTCCCTCTCTCCCTCCCTCCCTCTCTCTCTCTCTCTCTCTCTCTCTCTCTCTCTCTCTCTCTCTCTCTCTCTCTCTCTGTCTCTCTCTCGCTCGCGTGCAGGTGGATCTCTGTGAGTTCAATACCAGCCTGGTCTACAGAGCGAGTTCCAGGACAGTCTCCAAAGCCACAGAGAAACCCTGTCTCGGAAAACCAAAAACAAGCAAAAAAAAAAAAATCTTCTGGGAGAGACAATGGCTAACGATGAGGTCTTTGAGCCTCCCTTCTCTCCACTCTCCCGCTCCCCTCCCCTCCCTTTCCCCCTCCCTCCCTGTGGTCTCCAAGTAACCTCTTCCAGGCTTCCATCCCATAGTCCCTCTGTGCCCTGTCCTGAGGACATCACCTCTCCACCTTCCTTCCTTCTGTTTCCCAGAAAAGCCATTTACACTTCCTTGTCACTTTCTCCTGTGTTAAGAGTCTTCCTCTTCCTCCGCCACAGCCCAGGTCACATGGGGGAACCTCAGGACAAGGGCTTTGCTGTGTCCCCACCCTTCTGGAGTGGGGGCTGATGTGAAGACAGAGACAGATAGAGACAGAAGTGGTCCCTGGTCGGTGGGATACAGGGAAGAAAGGCCTAGCAGAGAGGAAGAGAAAGCCCAGGACAATCTGAACTCTGCCTCTTGGAGAGCAAGGGCAACGGCAGGGTTTAACTGTCTCTTCCTTTCGGAAGCGGCTGCTCTCTGGGCCAAAGAGGGAGAGAAATGAAGAGACGGAATAAAAAAGCAGAAGGAAGCCAGGCGGTGGTGGCACATGTCTTTAGTCCCGGCACTCGGGAGGCGCAGGCAGGTGGAGCTCTGTGAGTTTGAGGCCAGCCTGATCTACAGAGTGAGTTGCAGGACAGCCAGGGCTACACAGAGAAACCCTGTCTCGAAAACAAACAAACAAAGCCAAAGTAGCAAGCTAGAGCAGACACAATGGCCCCCACCGGTAGCTCACTCTACAGCTGTTTATAGAGATCGAGGAGCTTTTTTTAATAAATTATTTATTGACCAATGAGATAGCTCAGTGGGAAAGGGTGCTTGCCATCAGGGCTGATGCCCTGACCTGGGTTCAATACCCAGGACTCATTTTATAGAACTGACTCCTGCAAGCAAGCTGTCCTCTGACCTCCACATATGCTATGGCATGTGCCTATCATAAATAAATAATGATGAAATCGGAGTGTATTTATGTGTATGCATGCGCGCGTGTGTGTGCATGGGTGAGTATACCTGTATACACCCCCCTCCACCCCAAAATGGGACTAGGGTTAGAGGGAGGTGCAGGATATCTGGCTTGTTATGTGGATGCTGGAACCCAAATTCTCGTCCTCACGACAGTGCGGCAAACACTCTCAACCAATGAACCATCTCCCCAGCCCTTATTTTTAGTGGCTGTTTAGATCAGGGTCTCACTAAAGTCCAGGAACTCATCATCCTCAGGCCTCAGTCCCCAAAGTGCTGGATTACAAGTGTGAGCTTTCAGGCTAAGCTCCCTGAGCCATTTTAGAATCATTTTCTTTCTTAAGATTTATTTATTATGTATACAGTGTTCTGTCTGCATGTATGTCTGCAGGCCAGAAGAGGGCACCAGATCTCATTACAGAGATCTGTGGTTGCTGGGAATTGAACCCGGGACCACTGGGAAAGCAGCCGGTGTTCTTAACCACTGGGCCATCTCTCCAGCCCTTAGGATTGTTTTCAACCATAGCAGGGGTCCTGTGCCCTGTGAGATGCTGAGTCAGGTGGAGAAAGGAAATCACTGAGACAGAAACACACACATACACACACACACTCATTCAGATACACAGACACACATACACACTCATATACACACACTCATTCAGATACACAGACACACATACACACTCATATACACACACTCATTCAGATACACAGACACATACACACTCATACACACACTCATTCAGATACACAGACACACATACACACTCATACACACACTCATTCAGACACAGACACATACATGTACACACATACACACACTCATTCAGATACACAGACACACACATTCAGATACACAGACACACACATTCAGATACACAGACACACACATACACACATTCAGATACACAGACGTGTATGCACACATGCGCTCAGAGAGGAAGGGGGGGGCAGGTGACCACCTTGACTAAACAAACAACCCCAAGGGAGCACGCGTCAAACTGGGTGTGGTTAACTGCTGTTTATAAACTCGGGAGTGGAGGCAGAAAAACCGAGAGTTCAAGGTCATCCTCTGCTGCGACTGGAGTTGAGGCTAGCCTGGGCTACTGATACCCTGCGTCAAAACAGCAACAAAAAAGCACAAAAGGGTTGAGATGGCCCAGGAGCCTGACAACTTGAGTCCCCGTCCCGGGACCCACATGGTTGGAGGGGGGAACCAGTACTCACACGTTCACACACACACAAACACACACACACAGTGGAAAGAAAACACAAATCAGAGAGAGGTTAAGAGAGGCAGTGGGGGGGGGCGGCAGTGGCGCATGCCTTTAATCCCAGCACTCGGGAGGCAGAGGCAGGCGGATCTCTGTGAGTTCGAGGCCAGCCTGGTCTACAGAGCGAGTTCCAAGACAGCCTCCAAAGCCACAGAGAAACCCTGCCTCGAAAAACCAAAAAAAGAAAAAGAAAAAAAAAGGCAGTGGGTGGGAAGAGTCGGAATGTCTCAAGGCTCTGACAGGGGTCAGCTGGGACAGAGAAATGCGCTCTGCCACAAAGCACCTTTGTCTGACCTCACAGAGCAGCTAATAAACACTCCAGTGGATGAGTCTTCTCTCTGCCTCCATCCTCACGACCCCGCCCGCCCTCGGGTCTCTCTCCTTAACCACTTCTCTTTCAACTCCTCACTCTCCTCGGAAGCATAAAAGCCAGGACCCCCAGAGCTGCCGAGTGCTGCGGACCCCACACAGGTTAGAGCCCCCCGGGGCTGGAGGCTGGAGGGGCTGAGGGCTGTCATGGTGAAAATGTCTCGGAGAACGGAGACAGACAGGAGCATGAGGGGATGGGGCAGAAATGGAACGGGGGTGTGAGGAGAGGAGTGGAGATGGATGGATGGATGGATGGATGGAAGGATGGATGGATGGAAGGATGGATGGATGGAAGGATGGATGGATGGATGGATGGATGGATGGATGGATGGATGGATGGATGGTGCGTCTGAGAAACATGGCTAAGGATGGGGGGAGGAGTTACTGGCTTTTGCTGGTTTTCTTGTTGCCTTTTTCTCCCTTTTTTAAAAAAAATCACATTACTTACTTGTTTTGTGTATGTGTGCTTGTATACGTGCCACAGCGTGACTGTGGAGTTCAGGAGACAACTCGGAATCAGTTCTCGTCCCTACGCCTTGTAGCTCCTAGGAATTGAACTCGGGTCTCTAGGCTTGCAGCAAGCACCTTTACCCACTCAGCCATCCGGCTGACCTCTGTTTTTGAGACAGGGTCCCATATAGTCCAGGCTGGCCTCAGACTTGCTGGGTAGAACAGAATGGCTCGAACTTCTAATCCCCTTGCCTCCACCACCGGGGTGTTGGGATCACGGGCGTGTGCCGCCACATCTGGCTCTGACGGCCATTGTTCTATTCCTTTCTGGTCTCTGTCAGTCAGCTATCTATATACCCCAGCTTCCAAATCAATAGATTCAAATGTCAAACCCAAGAATTATCAGGGAAGTTCAGTTGGATGGCTGAGCTGGTAAAGGTGAGTTCAGTTCCTGGTATCTGCAAGTTGGGGGGAGAGAGCCGTCCTGAAATCTGACCTCCACACGTGTACTGACATTCTCCTTGTGTTTCCCTAGGACATAATGCGGCGATATTTACAGAGGATTTTCTTTTCCTCAGGCTGGGTAACATTGCCCAGAGTGAATCCAAAGTACACAGGAGGGCACTGGAGAGATGGCTTGATGGTTAAGAGCCATTGCTGACTCACAATCAATTATAATTCCAGATCTCGAAGGGTGGTGGTGGCGCACGCCTTTAATCCCGGCACTCGGCAGGCAGAGGCAGGCAGATCCCTGTTAGTTCGAGGCCAGCCTGGTCTACAGAGCTAGTTCCATGATAGCCAGGGCTACACAGAGAAACCCTAACTTGAAAAACCAAATTAATAATAGTTTCGGATACAGGGGCTCTGACACCTGTTTCTAGGGCGGATGTGTACAGGTTCTATGCAAACATGGTATATTTCATACGAGGACCTGGAGGGATGGCAGATTTGGGGATTTGTGGAGAAAGGTCCCAAGGGCACTGAAAACAGTTTTACATATTTACATTATCCCTCCCCTGACTCTTGTCCCTCCCCCTTTCCTATTTATTTTTGAGTGCTGCAGCGCACGTGTGGAGGTCAGAGGGCAATCGGAGGCTTGCTTCTCACCCTTCACCTTGCGGGATGCAGGGTCCCCTGCGTGTATCTGTGGGGCTTTGGACGCGGAGCAGCTGGCTACGAGCTCCAGGTCCCTTTCCTCACGCCACCCTCCGTTCCGAGTTACCAGTGCACATTCCTGCCCCTGGCTTTTACAGGAGCTCTGGGGATCTGAACTCCAGTCCTCAACCTTGCTTTGTCTGGTCACTTAGCCAGCCTGGTCTACAGAGTGAGTTCCAGGACAGCCTCCAAAGCAGCACAGAGAAACCCTGTCTCGAAAAACAAACAAACAAAACATCAAAATGAAGCTTAAAAGAAGCCCTTAAACCAGATGTGGTGTGTACCTCTAATTCCCACACTCCGGGTGGAGACAGGAGGATCAGAGTTCGAAGCCAGCCTGAGCTTAAAAAGTGGGCATCCTCTTGGTTTATCCTGGAGCACAAGTCTACTGTCCCAGTCACTCAAGAAGTTGAGGTAGCCAGGCAGTGGTGGCGCACTCAGCACTCAGGAGGCAGAGGCAGGCAGATCTCTGAGTTCGAGGCCAGCCTGATCTACAGAGCAGGGCTAGTTCCAGGACAGGCTCCAAAACAATACAGAAAAATCTTGTCTCGAAAAACCAAAAAAAAAAAAAAAAAAAAAAAAGAAAGAAAGAAGTTGAGGCAGGAGGATCAAAAGTTCCAAGCTATCTTGGGCTGCAGAATGAATTCAAGGTCTCCTTGAGAAAAGTACTGAGATTCTGTCTCAAAAGAAAAAAAAAGTAAAAATACCAGAGATGTAGATAGTTCAATGATAGAGCACCTGCTTAGAATCCCTCAGTGAAGGGCTGGGGTGTGGCTCAGTGGTAGAACACCTGTCTAGAATCTCACAATGAGAGGCTGGGGTGTGGCTCAGTGGTAGAGCTCCTGCCTAGAATCTCCCAGTGAGGGGCTGGGGGCATGGTTCAGTAGTAGAGCCCCTGCCTAGAATCCCCCAGTGAGGGGCTGTTCAGTAGTAGAGCCCCTGCCTAGAATTCCCCAGGGAGGGGGTGGGGTGTGGCTTAATGGTAGAGATGATGCCTAGAATCCCCCAGTGAGGAGCTGGGAATGTGGCTTGGTACTTGCTTATGAGAAGCCCTAAGTTCAATTTCCATTTATCAACCCCCACCCCTACACACACACACACACACACACACACACACACACACACACACACACAGAGAGAGAGAGAGAGAGAGAGAGAGAGAGAGATAAGAAATTCCAAAACCAACAGATTGGAAGTTCATTTTATTTTTCTGTGGTACATTTAAATTAAAAAAGACATTATCTAGCCGGGCGTTGGTGGCGCACACCTTTAATCCCAGCACTCAGGAGGCAGAGGCAGGCGGATCTCTGTGAGTTCGAGGCCGGGCTGGTCTACAGAGCGTGTTCCAGGACAGCCTCCAAAACAATACAGAGAAACCCTATCTCAAAAAAAAAAAAAAAAAAGACATTATCTACCTACCATTGATCATAGTGATGACGTCATGCTTCATGCATATGACCAAAGTCATTCAGCTATAGACACTACTTGTACTTTTTTTTTCCCTGGGGGCTGAGTGGTTCAATTCCATTCAGTAAATTTCTCTCCATGTCAGAGCTGCACACAACCGTGCTACGGAGAGTAACTTATTTATTTGTTTGTTTGTTTGTTTATTCATTCACTCATTTGGTTTTGTTTTTCGAGACAGGATTTCTTTTCCTCTCTGTGTAACCCTGGCTGCCCTGGAACTCGCTCTGTAGACCAGGCTGGCCTTGGACTCCCAGAGACCCGTCTTCCCCTGCCTCCCGAGTGCGGGGATTAAAAGCGTGTGCCGCCAACGCCCACCGAGAATAATAACGCTGGCCCTCTTTGCAGCTTTCGTCAGCTGAGTGCCGTGTTCTTCCGTTTCAGGATGGCCTGCTCCCCGCATCTGGTCCTTCTTGTCACCATCCTGATGACTCTGGCAGGGACACAAGAGTCTGCACCTGTTTACAGGGTAATGCCTTCCCCCTGGTGCTCCCCTCTAGGGAGAGGTTTCACTTTTTTTTCCTGGTTTGATCCAGGGGTACTTGTAGGAGGACGAGCTGAAGCTGAGAAGGAGGCGACTTCATCAGCTTGGTCCTGGGAGTGGAGTAGGAGACAGGTGAACATAGACATTTGGGGTTCAGTTTATTTGACCCAGCGTGATGGTGCCTGCCAATCCTTCCGGGCACTCGGGAAGCTGAGGCAGAAGGGTTGTGAGTTCAAGGCTAGTGGACAGCACAGTGAGATCCTAATTAAAAGTAAATAAATATCTGGGCAGTGGTGGCGCCGCACACCTTTTGGCAGGCAGAGGCCGGCCGGTCTCTGTGAATTCAAGGCCAGCCTGGTTTACGAAGTGAGTTCCAGGACTGTCAGAACTGTTATACAGAGAAACCCCATCTTGGGCCTCCCATCCCCCCCAAAATAAAGTAAATAAACGGAAAGGAAAAAAGGGGTGATGGATGTAGCTCAGTCGGTGGCGTGCTTGTCTGCATGATGCCCTAGGTCCCATCCCTGCAGGACGTGCTGGCGCATGCTTCTAATCCTAGCACTCAGGAGGCAGGAGGAGGATGCTCGGGGAATGGAGATTAGCTTGAGCTAGTAATGTTGAAGCTAGCCTGGGCTACACGAGACCTCTCTGGAGGGAAAATGAAAAGAGAGGGCTGGCTAGGTAGCTCAGCAGGTAAAGGTGCTTGTTGCATAACCCTGGTGACGAGCGTTCGATCAGAAGGAGAGAAGCAACTCCTGAAAGCGGGGCTCTGTCCCCCTGCAGCCTGCTGTGACATGAGTGTACTCCACCCCCCACTAACAAAAAAAAAAGAGAGAGAGAAAAGTAGCTGGCATGGTGGGCGATTTATGCCTGAAATTCCACATCCCAGGGAGCTGAGACAAGGTTCCTGCTAGATTGAGGCCAGCCAAGCCTCTACAGAGGGTCCTTGTCTCAAAAACAGCAAACCAAACATACATCAGACATGGTGACCCTTGCCTTTAATCCCAGCATGCAGGAGGCAAGTTTGGGATGAGCCTGGTGTATTTAGTGAATTTCAAGCCATTCAGGGGTTACACAGTGAGACACTATCTTTAAAACATGGGTAGGGGGTCAGGCAGTATCTGGCTCCTTGAGATTGGAACCCTGACTGACTTGCACAGCAGCTGGGTCCTTGGCAAGACACCCTTTCTCCCTCTCTCCCTTCCTTCCTTCTTTTCCAGATAGGGCAGTGGTTCTCAACCTATGGGTGTCACCTCCCACATATGTGATATCCTGAACATCATATGTTTACATTATGAATCATCACAGTGGCAAAATCATAGTTATGAGGTAGCAACGGAAATAATCTTACGGTTGGAAGGTCACCACAAGATGACGAGCTTTATTTAAAGGGTCCCAGCATTAGGAAGGTTGAGGACCACTGAGATAGGTTCTCATGTGGATAGGCAGGCCTCGTACTAAATATCTGAGGATAGCCTCTTTTTGCTTTTTTGTTGAGACAGGGTTTCTCTGTGTAGCCCTGGCTGTCCTGGAACTCAGTATGTAGACCAGGCTGGCCTCGAACTCAGATCTGTAGACACAGTTTCTGTCCCACCTGGTCCCATAGTCATTTAACCCCAAATAAACACACAGACACTATATTAGTTATTCAACTGTTTGGCCAATGGCTTAGGCTTCTTATTGGCTATCTCTCTTAATTATTAACCCATTTCTATTCACCTAAGTATTTCCACGTGGTCTTATCTTACCAGAGAATCTTTCTCCCTCATCAGCTACATGATATCCACTCTGGAGGTTTCTCTCTGCCTCCTCTCCCCAGAATTCTCTTCATCTCATAGCCCCGCCTTTACTTCTGCCTGGCTACTGGCCAACTAGTGTTTTATTCATCAGCTAATAGGAGAAACATATATACAGAAGGACATCCCCCATCAGAGATAAGCCTGCTTCTGCCTCCTGAGTTGGGATTAACCAGATTCTGAGGATACCTTTGAACTCCTGGTATTTGTGCCTCCACCTCGTCAGAGTTGAGATCGAAGGTTTTATTCAGTGCCGGGGATAGAACCCAGGGATTCATGTTTGCTAGGCAGGCACTCTACCAACTGAGCTACAGCCTCAGGTGTCATTTATTTGTTTTAGTTAGTTTTTATATCGAGGCAGCATTCCACTGAGTTGGCCAGGCTAGGCTGGCTTTGGACTCACTCAGCAGCCCAGGAAGTCCTTGAAACTTGAATTCTCCTTTTGTCAAACCTGCTGAAAAACTGGGATACTAGATACTCGGCCTGCACCACCAGGCCGGGCTTTCAACATACTCATACAGTTTATAATACCATGTTCCTTGTTAACTCCAAGCACCGCACTGTCCGGTTATTCTTGGAACTCATCCATCTCACTTTTTTTTTTTTAGACAGGGTTTCTTTGTGTAGCCGTGGCTGTCCTGGAACTCGATCTGTAGACAAGGCTGGCCTCAAATTTACAGAGATCCACCTGCCTCTGCCTCCCGAGTGCTGGGATTAAAAGCATGCACCACCATCACTGCCCAGCCAAAGCTGTCATGCTTTAAACATCATATTTCTCACAGTCTGTCTGTCTGTCAGTCAGTCTGTCTGTCTGTGTGTTTGTCATGGGTGGGGGTGTGCATTCTGCACTGAGAGTGTGGAGGTCATAGGACAACTTGCAGGAATAAGATCGCTCTTTCCTCAAGGTGGGTCCTGGGGGTTGAACTCAGGTCATACTTGGCACCGAAGCACCTTTACCCATTTAGTCATCTTGCCTGGCCGGGGCCCTCCACTTGCTAGTTATAGGAAGTCCTAATTGCACACGGCGGAAATAGGATCTAAGCAAAATATGCCACTGGCTAGTATCAAGGCCATATGGTGACCTACATCACCCTAGACTTCCGGGATCTTGCCACTTTCCCGTCTTAGTCCTCATTTCTTCATGTCTTCCAGGGACGAGGAGGCTGGACTCTGAATAGTGCTGGTTACCTCCTGGGTCCTGGTAAGTGCTTTTTCTCCAGGCTTCACCCCTCATTCGTGCCTACTCAATACCAATGGCTTTGTGACCCCTGCAGAGATGATGCTGGATTAGTTGCTCAGTTACCAAAACACCTGATAGTTAAGGGTAGAGAAAGATTCATTGTGGCTCATGGTTTCAGAGGGGTTCGCTCCATCCCAGTAGGCGAGGCTTGGGGGGCTGGTATGCATCACGGAGGTGTGTGGTCTCCCTCTGTACAGCTCCCGCGTTGCTTCGCCATATGAGGGAAGCTGTCTTAGTGGGCCTGCAGTTGGAGACAACTGAATAGCTCACGGTTCCCACCTGAGAGGGGGAGTGCGGACAAAGAAAGACTAGCCAAAGACCTTAAAAGAAAAGACAAGAGACACAGGATAGGTGTCAGGAGGGTCATTCAGACCATACTGAACGCTGAGTGCCCCGAGTTTATTCTTCAACATACTTAAGCACCCAACCAAAAGTGGGGACAATGGTAGACTTCTATTATCATGTATAAGGGGCAAACAGACTTTTTTATTTTTTATTTTCGAGACAGGGTTTTTCTGTGGCTTTGGAGGCTGTCCTGGAACTAGCTCTTGTAGACCAGGCTGGTCTCGAACTCACAGAGATCCGCCTGCCTCTGCCTCCCGAGTGCTGGGATTAAAGGCGTGCGCCACCACCGCCCAGCTGGGGTACACGGACTTACTTCCCTTAATCCTCCAGGCATCTGGTAGCCACACCTGCCATTCGGTCTTCAGAGTCAAGAGTAAATACACTGGAGCCAAGTCTGTTGCTATTTAGATAAAGATGTCGGCTACCAAGGTCGAAACATCCTGCAGCAGCCAGGCTATCGACTTATAGGTATAAGGACAGTTTTGGGTGCTCTGACCTTTAGTCAAGATGGAGTGGAACCATTTTTATGGGCCCAACAAAGGTGGGTGTGGAAGAAGCCAGGGGTCCCTATGTGGCCAGGACTATGGGTCAGACTACAGCCTTCAAAGGCCCACCCCTAGTGACCCATTTCCTTCAGTTAGACTCCACCTTCTAAAGGTTCCACAACCTTCTAGAAATTGTAGGGGAACAGACAAGTGTTCAAAACCTGAACCCATAGGGGATGGTTCAGATTCAAACCATTACATCCATATTTAGATGAGTCTGGGGAGTCAGTCTAGGCAGAAGGCTGGGTGCAGAGCCTGTTATGGTGTTCAGGGTTTCCCTGGGCCTCCATTTCTGGCTCTGCTACAGGGGGGACAATGGTGGTCCCCACAATTCATGAGAGGGTTGTGAGGTTTAATTAAGTTGTCTATGTAGCTCAGTTGGTAGAGCTAGCACACTGAAAACCTTGGGTTCGGTGCCCAGAACTGTCTAAAACTGGGTATGGGATCACACACCTGTAATCTCAGCACTTGAGAGGTAGAGGCAGGTGGATCAAGAGTTGAGGGTCGTCATAAGCTACTTAGGGAATCTGAGGCCATCCTGGGCTACCTAAGACCCTGTCTCAAAAATTAAGAATATAAAATAAGAGGTCCTACCCAGCCTACAATCTACAACCTCAGAGAGGCTAGAACCCTCTTTCAGAAACAGATGGAAGCAGAAGCAGAAATCCACAACTAACAGATGGACCAAGCTCCTGGAGTACAATGGAAGTGAGGGAGGAGTGATAATATGAACAAAGGAGTCGGGAAAAAGCCACAGAATCAGCTGACCCGAGCTAGTGAGAGATCACTGACTCAGGTCTGACAAATGGGGATCCTGCATAAGACTGAACTAGATAGACTCCCTTAATATAGGTGACAGTGGTGTGGCTGGAACTATATATGAGGCTACTGCGTCCAAGACCTAACACTAATGCACAAACTGAATAGTGGAGCCCGTTCTGTATGGAGAGATACCTTGCTCAGCCTAGACACAGGGGTCTGGGGGTGGAGAGATGATCTTAGTGGACTTCCTAGGGGAGGCTTTACCCTCTGGGAGGAGCAAATGGGAGATAGGGAGTGTTGTGGGGAGCAGGAAGAGAGGAGGAAGGGGAACTGGGATTGGAATGTAAAAAAATAAATTAACTAAAAAGAGAAAAACAGTTAAAAAAAAAAAGATGTTCAGCAGGATGGCTCAGTGGGGAAAGGTACTTGCAGCCTGAGGGTGATGACCTGAGTTTGATCCTAAAACCTACCTAAAGGGGGAAAGGAGGGTTGACCAGATGGCTCACTGGACAAAGGTATTTGCTTCCAATCTTGACGACCTGAATTCCCAGTGCCCACATGGTAAAAGGAGGGAACCAATTCCTACAGGTTGTCCTCTGCTCTTCATAGGGGTGAGGTGGCATGGGCGAGCCTATACACATAAACACATGCATGATAGATAAATGCCCAAGGAAATGTAATTTTTAACAAACGAGTTAACAACACTGGCACACTGTGGGCACCAGCCTCTCTGCCCACAGTGGGTACCATATCATGACTTCGATACTATGCTTCCCTCTGTATTTATTTCCATCCCTGCCTCTGCACTTCCAGGAATGAATCTTCTTAGGAGCACGCATACTAGCCACACAAACGAAGCCCAGTTCCCACCAAATCAACCCCACCCCGTGCCCGAGGCTAGGCTCGACTTGTTAGAAACAAAACTGGGTCGGGTATGATGGGACACACCTTTAAATGCCAGCAGTCAGGAGCCAGAGGCCGGTGGGTTCGAGGCCAGGTTAGTCTGCATAGCGAGTTCCAAGTCAGCCAGAACTGCATAGTGAGAATGTGAGAATTTGTCCCAAAATATAAAGGAGGGGGATAGAGGTCACATGCTGGGGTTTATGAAGTGGTCTCTGCTGCTCGCAAAACCTAACCTAAACTGCTTCTGTTTTCCTAAGTCTTCAGTACTTTCCTTATAAAAATGAAGAACTTTTGTTTCTCAGAGGTCTATGGATACTTGTTAGAGGACGGCAAGTTGGCTAGGTGGGTAAGGGTGCTTGTTGGCAGCGTTCAGTCCCCAGAAGGAGCGAACTGACTCCCGTAAGTTGTCCTTGATCTTCATGCAAGTGCCATGGCATGTGTGCTGCTCCCCACATCTCTGTCTCTGTCTCTGTCTCTGTCTCTGTCTCTGTCTCTCTCTCTCTCTCTCTCACACACACACACACACACACAACTAACAAGTAAATAAATGCAAAAGAGAGTAAGAAAACCCCACGCTGCCTTAACAACATGACAGAGAGAACGGAAAACATGAGATTTGTTCGCAGACATAGGTGGGCAACAACTCTAGTCGAAGCCGCGTAAGTTAGGTATGGCCAACGGGCGTCCTATCCCGAGGCTTTGCTTGGAGTTACTCCGCCAAATGCCTGGAGGACTTGGTGGGTCCTGTGTGATGTCATTCTATTAACCAGCTTTCCTGCTGTCTCCCATCCCTTCCCTAGTCCTCCACCTTCCCTCAAAGGTAGAACAAGGCAGGAAGAGGGACTCAGCTCTTGAGATCCTAGACCTGTGGAAGGCTATCGGTGAGTAGTGGTCCCTCCTCTGGCATCCTCCTCCGAGTACTCTCTGTTGGCTTTGGAAACTGGTGGACGTGGGTCCACTCCTCACACTGTCACTTCCTAGGTAGAAGAAAGAACATGAAAAGCAGTGTAACTCTGTCGAGCTTTTAATTTCTCCCCAGGTAAAATCGTTGCCATGATCTCGTTTGTGTGTGGTGGTCCATGCCTATTATCTCATACTTGGGCTGTAGGGGCAGGAGCATCAGGAGTTACCCACAGAAACACAGTCATTTCTAAGCCAGTCTCGGTTACCTGATACTCCTTCTCATCACTGCCCTCTCCCCAAAAACAGAACCAGCAAGATAGCTCCGTGGGTAAAGGCACTTGCTGTCTAGCCTGGCCACTTGAGTTCGATCCCCAGGACCTACAAGATGAAAGGAGAAAACTGACTCCCATAGGTTGTCCTCTGATTTCTATACCTGTGCCAAACACACACACACACACACACACACACACACACACACACACACGCACACCCATGCACACACATATACACACACTCACTGCACATACACACACTCGCTACACAGACACCACACTCACTATACATACACACGCATTCATCACACATACACACCATAATACATACACTAACATACATACACACATACACACTCATCACACATACACATACCATGCACACATATACACTTACTACACATATACTTACACACACATACTCACTACACATACATACACACTCATCACACATATACACACTCACCACACATACATACACACACACTCATCACACATACACACACTCACTACAATACACTTACACACAATCACCACACACACACACACAATGAATAATAAAAACGTAATAAACAATAATAAAGAATTATAGCCGGGCAGTGGCGGCACACACCTTTAGTCCCAGCACTTGGGAGGCAGAGACAGACAGATCTCTGTGAGTTCGAGTTCGAAGGTAGCCTGGTCTACAGAGGAGTTCTAGGACAGCCAGGGCTACACAGAGAAACCCTGTCTGGAAAAACAAAAAGTTGGGCAAGGCAGATTGAGTCTGTCTGTAACCCCGGTGCAGGGGAGATGGAAGACAGGCGGTCGGTCCTGACCTTCCTGGACAGCCCCTCTAGCCAAATGGGTGAGCCCCAGGTGCAGCGAGCAATGGTGTCTCTAAAAATAGGCAGAGAATGAAGGAGAAGAAAGCCTGCTGCTCCTTTGGTTTCGTTTCTGCAAGCGCTCGTGAGCATGTGCAGTAGCATATGCTCGCTTCCAAAACCCTAACCAATCTGGCACACATTGGGACTACAGTTCATTCTGTCAAGAGAGGGTCCTCGAAGCTGTCTGGGAGGGGTCAGTGAGTGCTCCCTTCCCTGTAAATGCAGCACAGGACTTGACCTGATCTGTCTCCTCGCTGTCACCTGGTAGGGCCCGTGCTGAACAGACACCCCTTGGCTTCCAACCTCGGGTTTATTGAGGTTTGGAGCTGGGTCCTTCTTGGCTGCTAGGGGCCAATCCCAGGGGGGCATTGCAACATATCTGGTTTCTACCCATCCGATGCTGAGGGAATTCCCTTTCCGCTCAGTCATGGCAATCCAACACTTCTCCAGACATGGCCAAAGGTCTCTCTCAAGGACAAAATCCCAAGTGAGAGCCACCAGGGACTCAAAGATTCCAAGGAAACAAAGAAAGTGAAACCACATATTGACTGTCATGGAGCCTCTGCATGCATTTTATTATTATTATTTTGGTTTTGGTTTTTCAAGACAGGGTTTCTCTGTGGCTTTGGAGGCTGTCCTGGAAAGCCTTCTGTAGACCAGGCTGGCCTCAAACTCACCGAGATCTGCCTGCCTCTGCCTCCCGTGTGCTGGGATTAAAGGTGTGCACCACCACTGTCCAGCGCCTCTGCATTTGTTTACCTACGTATTTATTCACTGTGCATGTGTGTGCACGTGCCACGGCCCCATGCAGAGGTCAGGAAACAAATGATGGGGGAGTCACCTACCATGTGGGTCTCAGGACAGAAACTCACACGTGCTCAATGGTCTCGCCAGCCCCCCCCTTTGGCATCCTAGCCCCTAGTCTCGTAAAAACCAAAAAAAAAAAAAAAAAAAAGACTGAGAGAATTTTGGGCATCCCTTGATTAACACCGTAGAGCTTCCAAAAACTGTAACTAAGCCCACACTTTGATGTTATTCAATATTGAATCAATGACTTAGACGATGGGATGCCTTCCCAAAAATGAAATATAATAAATGCTTCACAAACTTGCAAGGCACGCAAGTGACGTCTTGTCCCTTTTCCTAGATGAACTCCCTTATTCCCACTCTCCAAAGATGACCAAGAGGACGCTGGTAGAAACGTTTGTCAAACCCAAGAGTGAAGGTAAGGATGGGGATGTGGAGGACTGAGAAGAGGGGAAGTTAGGATGAGCTGGGGAAGGGGTGGCAGGCGACGGAGAACATCCTTCCGCAAGCCCACCTCCCTTCCCACACCCTGCCTCTCGCTCCATACCCCGCCTTCGTCTCTCAGACCAACAACATTCCTTTCCCCTCAGACTTGGCCTCAGGGACCAACTCTAATTTCCAAACTGAGCACTTTTCCAGACAAGGCCCTAGACCAGAGACTGATATCCTCTCTGTTTCTACAGCCTTGCGTGGACAGACTCCTCAAAGTCCTTTAGAAACCAGTTGAGCTGGGCGTTGGTGGCGCACGCCTTTAATCCCGGCACTAGGGAGGCAGATTCGGGGGATCTCTGTGAGTTCGAGGCCAGCCTGGGGACTGTTATATAGAGGAAAAAAAAAAACATTTGTTGAGTGCCACTTCTCTTTAGGGTTTTTTTTTCCTGAACACCATGTTTTAAAATTACTCATATTAAGCCGGGCGTTGGTGGCACACGCCTTTAATCCCAGCACTCGGGAGGCAGAGGCAGGCAGATCTCTGTGAGTTCGAGACCAGCCTGGACTACCAAGCGAGTTCCAGGACAGCCTCCAAAGCCACAGAGAAACCCTGTCTCAAAAAACCAAAAAAAAATTACTCATATTAACTTTTAAAAGTGTTATTAATTCATTTAGTTTATTTGTTGTTTTTTGTTGAGACAGGGTTTCTCTGTGTAGCCTTGGCATGACAATTTGAGTTCAAATCACAGAACCCATATAAAAAGTCATGTGTGAGCCTAGAACCCAGCCCTGTGCGAGAGGGAAGGTAGTATGGCCCGCCTGACAGGAGCAAGTCTAATGTATTGGGGGAAAGCCTGGAGATCTAAATGAAAGACAAGACATCGGCCATTTGTGCTAAGGTGTGTGTGTGTCTTTTTGCAAGGAGGGAGCAGCCTTATATACAGACTTATAGCACAGTGGAGAAACCCCAGGTGTAAGAGTTTGTGTTTCCATAATTAGCGGTTGATGCCAGTGGGGCAAGGCTGGGGCTGGAAGCCAGGACTAGAAAACAGGATGCACCTGTGGTTATTGGCTGACAAGCAACTCACAGAGACCCGGTGGGGGCTGGGGCCCAACGGTGGAGACAGGGAATCACTGGTGTTAGCTTACTGATAGCCTTGCTTCAGATTTAGTGAGAGACCTGGTCTCCAGTGTAGCAAGCCGGTGTTCGGGGTTACGGGTGCTACAACACTTTACAACAATCCGAGCAAAGGGCTAAGGATGAAAATAAAGACAAAGACAGTGGCCCATTCTTACTAGGAGAATGGCGTTTATTTAACAAGAGTGGAGCCTTGTATGCCAGTGGGAAAACCCACCAAGGTCAGAAGCCTACGTTCCCAGGACCCTCTGGCAAAGGGTGGGCCAAAAACAGGAATTAGCATTTAGACAATAAGGATGGACAGAAAACAGGAACTTGCATGCAGGCCTTACTGAAAGGAGGGGACCAGAGGTATTTTGCTAGAAGCTCCTAGTTGGTCAGCAGACCCCCATGGGGGAAGGGTGCAACACTCCAGCTAGACAGAGATGGATAGAGACAACATCCGATATTCTACACACACGCACGCTCGCGCGCGCGCACACACACACACACACACACACACACACACACACACACACACGCACGCACGCACAGTGGGGGGGGGGGAGAGGAGTATGTATTGTACTATCCTGATGATGATGACATACCCCCTCAACCTTGACTGCATGGTTTTTTGAGACATGGTTTCTGTATGTAGCTCTGGCTGTCCTGAAATTCACTCTGTAGATCAGGCTGGCCTTGAACTCAGAGATCCACCTGCCTCTGCCTCCCAAGTGCTGAGACTAAAGGCGTGCGCCACCACTTCCTAGCTGCATTCTTTGGCTCTTGAACATGCTTATCATCGACACTTGTATGAACCCCCTTGAAACAGGATGGGGAAAATGTGCGTAGCTGAGGGTAGACAGTAGACAGAACGAGGAAGGAAACCCGGAAGAGATGGAAAAGCTATCTGAGACAACTAGAGAGGCTTTCCTCCCTAGCCCGACCCCTGACTTCAGGAATCCCTAGTCTGAGACAACTAGAGAGGCTTTCCTCCCTAGCCCGACCCCTGACTTCAGGAATCCCTAGTCTGAGACAACTAGAGAGGCTTTCCTCCCTAGTCCGACCCCTGACTTCAAGAATCCGTAGTCTGAGACAACTAGAGAGGCTTTCCTCCCTAGCCTGACCCCTGACTTCAAGAATCCGTAGTCTGAGACAACTAGAGAGGCTTTCCTCCCTAGCCCGACCCCTGACTTCAGGAATCCGTAGCTGAGGAAATGGCTCAGTAGGAAAAGTGCTTGCTTGAGTTTGGTTTTTCAGCACCTGCATACAGGTGGGAATCCCAGGAGTTTACAGGCTACCCAGTCTTGCTTATGGGTAAGCTCCAGGTTCCCTGAGAGACCCTGATTCGAAAACTAAGGTAGGAAGAGGAGAGACAGCTTAGCAGTTAAAAGCGCTTTGGAGAAGTTACCAGATTCCATTCCCAGCATCCACACAGTGGCTCATAACTGTAACGCTAGTCTCAGGGAATCAACGCCCTTTTCTGGTCTCTGTGGGCACCGGGCACATATGTGCTACATCTGGGCAGAGCAGCCGGGCGTTGGTGGCGCACGCCTCTAGTCCCAGCACTCGGAAGGCAGAGGCAGGCGGATCTCTGTGAGTTCGAGGCCAGCCTGGTCTACAGAGTGAGTTCCAGGACAGCCTCCAAAACAATACAGAGAAACCCTGTCTCGGAAAACCAAAATAAATAAATAAATAAATAAAATAAAAATTGAAAGGACGTTGATCGACACAGGACACCCCAAGACCAAGTTCTCAACAAATAGGGGATTTATTTGTTCCAGAGGGACAGAGGTCAGGGAACAAGAGACTATGATGGGAGATAGAAGATGAGGGACAAGGGAGAGGGAAAGGGGTGTTTGTCCTGGAGGGGGGACAAAGGACTGCCCCTGGATAGAGAGGAGACAGAGGTGGCCCACAGGCAGATGGCAGTTTATAATAAGGGGGACACTCCGTGTTAGGATGAGGTGTTTAATTTTAGTTGGGCATGTTAATTGGGGTAGCCAAAAGGGGGCTTCTGATTTCAGGACCTCAATATGCTCACAGCTGGACCTTGGTAGTCAGCCTCGGGAGGAGGAAGTGGCCAAATGAGGGAGTAGACCTTGGTGGTTAGCGTCAGGAACGCAATCTAGCTGTTTTTAGCAAGGAGGGGGTGGAGGGTAAGCGGTAAAATCTGCGGGTGCCATGCTCAGGCCTGCCAGAGCCCTTCAAGAAGTAACCCATCTGCTGTTGCTCCCCTGCTACAGATCTGCGCGAACTGGACAGGGAAGAAGCCAGCCTGAGGTCATAGAGACGGCCACACCCCACCCCCGTGAAAGCCCTCTCACCGCCCTGAGACTAAGGACCCTACAGCTATGTCCCCAAATCTCACTAAAATACGTTGTACTATTTGAAGAAGTATGTTGACATAAACTCTGCAGTGTCTTTCTTGTTGGATTGGTTTTTCTTGGGGGGGTGGGTGAGAGATAGCTCGGTGGTTCAGAACAAACTTTGCTCTTTTGGAAGACGTGGGTACTGTTTCCAACATCCGCGCTGTGGGACTGGTAACCACCGGTAGCTCAGAGGCATCTGAGATTCTGATGCCTCTGGCCTCCAAATTCACACACAAATTCACACACAGAAACATACCCATGTTCTTAATTTTAATGCATCAATAATGGAAATAGATATTTTTTAGAAAAACAATGGAGAGACAGCTCATTGGTTAAAAGTATTTCCTACTCTTACAAAGGACCTACTCAGCATCCATGTCCAGGGGTTCACACTTACCTAGCTCCAGCTCCCCAGGGTACCTGCACTCAGGGACACACAGCCACATGCACCCACACAAAAGATGCCATTAAGGGACCTAAGAGTGAAAGACCCCAGGCGGGGGACTTTCACGGGAGGGAGACCCGAACCCAAGGAACACCGAGACCACGAGCTTGGATGCAACAGCAAGAGGCTTTATTGATAATACACGGGTACCCGGGGCATCTCGTCTCGGGAACTGAGAGCCCCGAGCTGGGGATTCAGGGGTTCTTTTATAGCAAAAAGCGCAGTACAGAAGCAAGAAGCCTAGTTACAGGACCTTGATTGGGCAATTTAAATGAGGCTAGGGCTCAGAACGAGGGCAATTAAGGTTTCTCTCAGAACTCAAGTCTCGGCCTTGGCCCTATCTGAGGAACAATAGGAGGTCTCTGTGCTTGCCCAGTCTTTCTGGGCTGGCTATAGACACCTGTGTCCCTGGGCAGAGTTCCCTTCTGATAAAGAAATGACTATTCAGCTGTAAAGACCTTGAGCTGAGCTTCTTTCTGATCAAAAAAAATGACTATTCGGCCGAGCTGTGGGGGAAAGGAATTTTCCATAGGCCTCAGCCACCTGTGCTGGGCCGGGGTCTTTCAAGAGTAGTGTGGGGACTCCGTGGTGGTGGCAGGGAAGCAGGTAATCATAGAACATTTTCCTGCAATATATTCTGACTAATTGCATTCCTTTTCGAAAGAAAAAATGTTTTTCCATTTATTTCTAGTCCCGGGAATCGAACCCAGGTCATGAGGATTTGCTGCAAGCGCCTTTACTTGAGTCATCTCTCAGGCCCAAAGTAATAGCATTCTTTTGGAATAACTCTCTGGTTGAATTATTATTGCTGCAGACCTCAAGGCCAGCATCAGGTTCACCTAGTGCCAGGCTTTGCCCCCCACCCAACTCGCCCACCTGCTCCTAGTGCCCCCTGCGTCTTGTCCATCTCGAAGAACCACTGAACAGGTTCCCATGATCCCCAAACTGGTCCTTTTCCACACTGCCAAAGCTCTAACTGGGCAGGGACGGGGTAGCGGAGGAGGCCCCATTTCTCTGCAGCCGCCATTTCTGGGCTTACATCTTCCGGCGGAGGAGCAGTTCTGCTGAGTTAAGGTGGTGGTGGTGAATCTGGCGCGCACTGAAAGCAATTGCGCTAACAGGCTGAAATCCCAGGTGGCAGAAGAGAAGCGCGTGTCTCGATTTGGAAAACGTGCATATTGTGCCAATAGTCCCAAGCGGAGGAGACACCTCCCCTTGCCCTTGCGCGGTGGGTCTAGGAAGGCTAAGTTTTCTAAGATAAGGCGTTAGAAATACCACTAAAAGCCTGTCGGTGGTGGCGGCGCACGCCTTTAATCTCAGCGCTCCCGAGGCAGAGGCCGGCGGATCTCTGTGAGTTCAAGGCCAGCCTGGTCTACAGAGCAAGTTCCAGGACAGGCTCCAAAGCCACGGAGAAACCTTGTCTCGAAACAAAATAAACAAAAAAGATAAACAACCCACTAAAGCCAGCTAAGGGGTGGGGAAACGGTCCAGCAGGTGTGTGAAAATGCCCGAGGCTGGGGATGTTCTTGTTTAGTGTGTTTGAATCCCTGGGTTTGACCTCCAGCTCCAATTTTACGAGTGTGATGGTGCACACCTTGGATCCTAGCACTGGTGGCCAAAGAGAGAAAGGAGGAGAAACCATGTTAGAGACAGAGACAAAACACTGGTGTGTGTGTGTGTGTGTGTGTGTGTGTGTGCGTGCAGGGGGATCTCAGGGAATAAAGCTAACACTGCTGAGTGGAGCCAGGTCACAAATGAGTCCCATTTTCCAGGGGAAACTCAGGCTCACTAACTGTGTGTAAGGATACATACGTACAGCTTCCTACCCTGTTTATTATAAAGATCTACTGCTCCTGGCCCCTCTGCCCAGCTCTCTGGACAAGGGGGATGGATTTTCAACTTGACTGTGAGCATTGCAGCTCCGACGGAAAGGTATTCTGGCATTCCGGAGCCAAAGAATACTGAGTGTTACAGCTCTGATGGAAATGCATTCTGGCAATCGGGAGCCAGGGAATACCACAGGTCACAGTTAGCCTAGCAGCTTACGGGGAAAGGTTTCCCCAGTGAAACAGCTCTACTCCCTCTCGGAGGGGAGGGCTTCCCCATCGAAGTTGTTAACAGTGCAGCCCTGCTCATCTGGGTAGGAATCTAGTGAGGTGATGAAAAATACACTTACAGTGATAAATAAAACTGGGTGTGGTGGCACACCGCTGTAATCTCATCCACCAAAGAATGTGAGGCAGATGGCTCAAGACTACAAAACCACGCTGGACAAGTGCCAGGTCAGCATGGGCTACACAAACCTTTGTTAAACAAGAAGAGGCCCGAGCAACACCTTTAATCCCAGCACTTGGGAGGCAGAGGAAGGTGGATCTCCAGGAGTTCCAGGTCAGCCTGGTCCCCATTGCACATTCCAGGGCAGTCGGGGGATACATGGTGAGGCCCTGTCTATAAATAAATACACACATACGTAAATACAGAAATGTGGAAAAAAAGACACTGGTCACAAATTTTCAGAATTCCTATCATTCTTGCTTAGCTTTCGAAACAATACATAAGCCTAAAGGTTCTCCTTGTCTGTCTCTCAAAGTTTGAAAGTCACGAGATGGAACCCACAGTTTTGGGGCAAATGATGCCAAGCCCAAAGCCTTGAGCTCAAACCCTGGTTCCTGGACAGTGGGAAGAAAAAACTGAGTTGTTTTCTGATCTCCATATATGTACACAAATACACTAAATAAATGTTTAGGGAAAAAATTGTCTTTTTTGTTTTGTTTTATTTTGTTTCATTTTTTTCTGAGACAAGGTTTCTCTATTACAGTGCTGGCTGTTCTAGAGTTTGCTCTGTAGACCAGGCTGGCTTCAAATTCAGAGACTAGACAGCCTGTGCCTCTGCCTCTCAAACACTGGGACCACCACTCTGGCTTCTCACGTATTTATGGGTGCTTTGCCTGCACAGCGTGTGTGTGGCTGGTGCCTGAGGGGTTCATTGCCATAATTCAGTCATAGCACCATCACGTCCTCATAGAGAAGACGTGACTCCAGGCCACACTGCAGAAATACCGCCTCTTAAGATAGGAAGCAAGTTCAGAGAAAACAGACTTGCAGCTTATCTGCCTCACATAAATTACCAAATAACCAGGGCTTAGGCTTGTATGACAGAAGGTGGAATGTGAAAGATAAAGTTAGAGTCTGCAGTCAGGTTTCCAGAGGACACAGGATGACCTACCCATCCCACTGACCTTTGCTCCTCCAGGCTCATTGCAGCTACAGCACACCCCCATTCCTTCCCCTGCTCCCTTCCCCTATATAAGCCCCCTTGGGATGAATCAAGGTTGTCGACTTGATCAGAATCCTGTCTCGCCATCCTTCCTCGTGTCTCCCGTCCCCCTTCTTTCTCCTAGGTGTCCCCCAGCCCCCACGTTGAATGTCCTGTGGGTCGGGGCAGTTCATCATAATAGAGTTCAGGGTCTCCAGAGACTGGAGTTACTGGGTGTTGTGAGCCACTAGGTGGGTGCTGGGAACTGAACCTGGGTCCTCTGTAAGAGCAACCAGTGCTCCTAACCACTGAGCCATCTCTCCAGACCCTTCTCACATATGTAAGCCAGTGTCATTTTGAAATCTGCACCGCTCAAAGTGCCCTTAAATATTAAGCAAGTAAGTTTACCCTAGATTCAAAACAAATGTGTAAAGACTCTGAGAGAATTTTGGGCATCCCTTGATTAACACCATAGAGCTTCCAAAAACTGTAACTAAGCCCACACTTTGATGTTATTCAATATTGAATCAATGACTTAGACGATGGGATGCCTTCCCAAAAATGAAATATAATAAATGCTTCCCAAACTTGCAAGGCACGCAAGTGCTCTGTTCTGGTTTCCTCATAAATATTTAGTATTATTCTGCGCACATGTTTCTGTGTAGGTATATGTGCGGGATCACAGAACAACTTGTAGGAGTTGGTTCTCTCCTTCCACTTTCTGGGTTCCTAGGAGGGAGCACAGCTCACCAGCCTTGGTAACAATCTCCTTTGCCCTCTGAGCCATCCTGCCAACCCTCCTTTGTTTTTATAAAAGGTAGGCTGATGCTAAATCACTCACTCAATCTAGTTGGAGCAAAGCTTTAAGAGAAGGTTAAAGCCGGACGTTGGTGGTACACGCCTTTAATCCCAGCACTCCGGAGGCAGAGGTGGGTGGATCTCTGTGAGTTCGAGGCCAGCCTGGTCTACGGAGCAAGTTCTAGGATGGTTACACAAAGAAACCCTGATCCAAAAAACCAAGCCAAACCAAAATAAAGATAAATATTGCGATATCTGAGATTATAATAAACTGGTTATGGATTGCACCTTCCCCTTTTTGGTTTATCATCATCATCACCACCACCATCGTTATCATCATCACTTTGAGAAGGGATCTCACGCAGTCCAGGCCGGTTCTAAACTATGTAGTCTGTAAAAACTTAAACTTCCAAGCCTCCTGCCTCCATCTGCTAAGTGCCAGGACTCCAACCCTCTGTTAGCATGCTTAGCTAGAATACTATGAAATGTATCTAAGTATTGAAAGAAAGAGGAAAGAACCGATCACAGGGGTCTCACAAGGAGTAGTCTCACA